CTCCCCTATCCTTTTCTATATCCATAAATGCAATGAAAACTTCCCTACCCCTCCCTATTCCACTAAAAAATACTGTTCACATATATGCATCAATGTATAAACACTTGATCTACCATCCTCTACCCACTCTAAAGCCTCATTGCTCATCTGCAATCCTACTCTCTGTCTTACCTCTAATTCTTTCAGTAATAACCCTACCATACACTTTACCATATATATGTACTCAGTAAACTTATTCCCCTATAATTCTTACAATCTCTTATGTCCCCCTTCTCTTTATATAAAGGAACTATACACGCTCTCTGCCAATCCCAAGGTGCATTCCCCTCTTTCATACATTTATTAAACAAAAATACCAACCATTACAACAAAATATCCCCCCTGCTTTTAACATTTCTGTCATGATCCTATCAAGTTCCTGCTGCTATTATAAAAAACCCCCTCTTTCATTCTGTGTAATGCAGCTCACGGCAACTTTCCCCACACTCACATCCTGTCCCCTTCTCCACTCCCTAAAAGATGTTATACACTGAAGACCTCCCTGACCAGTGCATGAAATTACCGCCCTCTAGTTCATCTGCTTGTTCTTCTCGAACATTTAAGAACCCTTTCAGGGTCGCCAGGATCCCTCCGAGACTTGTATCTCAGGGTCGCCAAATTTTCAAAAAAAAAAAATTATTTTTCATCTCATGAAAAGTACAGAGAATCTTTTCCCCGATCAACAATTGGCACCAAAATAATGAAATTGACTCGGTAAACTTACGAATTATGCCTCTCGCGCAGTTAGGGGGTCATTCGACGAGTGTTCACCTGCATCAGCGATTTTGCCACTTTGAGCCCTAGTTTTCAAGCCAATTTCCATTGACTGTACTAGTCGATAAAAATCATAGCTATTTCTCTAGAACTTGTCGTCCAGTTATTTCTATTGAATGAGTACAAAAAAGACCACCCAGTTTACCAATTTCAACTATCCATTAAGTGGTCAGAATTTAGCAATTTTGCCAATTTTTCACACAAATTTCAAAGATGCCAATCATTCCGAATAGGGTCCCCAAATAAACATGAAAGACATACTGTCACTAAAATAACATTTTCTCTGTCAGTAGTAGGTCCCGTCCCCACGCCCCACTTACATTCTTTCTGAGCTCTCCACTTTGAATTATGTTATCTCACAAAAAAGTAGAAAGATTTACTGTATATGCAGACTACTGCATTAGTGTAGAAATAGTATAAATAATATCAGCACACTTGTGTAAGAAAAGAAGACTCACCAGTTGGACATGTATTGGACGTGGTAGCAATGAATACTGTTTCAAACTTTTTGCAGAAACTTTGGTAAAAAAGAGCGTGGAGCAATTCTGTTAATTTTGAGCTCAATTTCCAAAGGTACTTTTCATTGTCTACAAGGAACCATGTCAAAATCATCTCAATTTCTTAATTCTTTCTTTTCTATAAAATGGAGACCAGGAAAAACTAGAATACAACAATAAATAACCATACGAAAATACAGGTGCAAAGTCACGCTTTTTAAATTCGAAAAAACACGGTCAAAGTTTTTTTTTTCTCATTACGCACGTGTACTGGCAGGAATTTTTTTTCAGTAAGACTGCGCACGAACTGACCACATAGACCTCATTCTGTCCACACATGTAGGCCTAACAGCTTTCCTCTCACTTAGATTTGAAGCTGCTAGAATTTAGAGGCGTACTAAGTATTCAAAACCCTGGTGCGTAAGCGTACCCGAGGTACGATCCCGAAACCCTGAAAGGCTTAAAAAGTTCCTCAAATAATCACCTCCACTCACCATCATACTAACTTCCCCTACTCTGTTTTTTAACTAACAAATCCATTTCAGTTCCCTGCTTTCTTGACGTGTTTATCTCATTCCAAAATTTTTTCTTATTTTCAGCTAAATTTCTTGCCGGTGCATCTCCCACTCTTTCCATCAGCTCTCCTTTTAGCACTCGCTCACACCACTCTCCTCCTTCAACCTTTATCTATTTTACTCTCTATATACCTCTGCTCTTCTTACAACTTACTTCTGCTTTGTGAAAACCTCTCATAAGCTACTGACCTTTTTCTCTGTTATCACAGCCGCTATACTACTGCATCATGTTCACCAATCATGTCCCTCTTTTCGCTCTCTTTCCTCCTGCACCTCAACCATCCCATAGCCACAAACTACTGCCCCCACATTCTAATACTTACTGCATTTTAACCCCTTGACTGTCATATTCAACCCCAAATCCTGATGTGTCCTCCTGGGTGTCCGCAAAATTTCAAATTTCAAAAAAAAAAAAATTCTTATGAAATGATAGAGGAAATCCTTTGCCCAATTGCAATGACACCAAAAGAAACGAAAATTGATGGAAAACTTACAGAAATTACGCTCTCGCAAAGTTAGTGACCTCGGCATATTTACGAATCGGGCGATATTTGGCCGCCTTTGACCCCTATTTTCGGCTAATTCCATTGTTCCGTCAACCAAACTCATAGCCTTTCTTTAGAACTCCCATTTTTTCTATCGATATGAGTACAAGAAACTGCACCATTTACTCAATTTCTAACTACCCAGTAACGTGGTCAGAAATTTGCAATTTGGCCAATTTCATTGAAAATTAAAAAATATAGGACAATTTTCAAAATAGGTCCAGAATGAACAAGTGATGAACATAACTTGGCTCTAAAAATAACGTTCGTTTTTTTTCTTACATTTTCCTTTGTTCGCTGCAGTCAGTCTGCCAGGCCCCTCTGATATTGCTGCTGCTTTCTATTCTATTGAGATTATTATTCAAAGCAAAAAATAGAAAGATATTAGCTGTTATCAGACTACTGCAATATTTGTAATTATTGTATAAATATTGTCAACTGGCCATTCATGAACAGCATATTAAAATGGACGTACTTGGACATTATGTATAAAATGACCACCATTTTGTTTAACTTTTGAGGCATCAGCAAAAATCAAATATTTCCCCTTCTTTTAGCTCTCCATTTACCAGGTTCTTTTCATAGTAAACCAGATCAAAAATCACGCTCTATTTTCAAATTGTTTTTCCCCATTCTAATCACAAAAGGATCAAGAAAAACAAAAATACAATCATAAATACTAAACGAAAATAGACCACAAAGTCGGCCATTTTTAATTACAAAAAAAAAACGGTCGGAGTTTATTTTTTATTATTATGCACATGTGTGCTGGCAGAGGTAATTTTTTATATGGTGTCACACTGACCATCACAGAACCATCTCTCACAATGTGGGCCTACCACTTTCTCCTGCTTGATTTGAAGCTGCTAGAATTTATGTTTATATATTCGTCAAAAACAGTGGCTCGTAAGACGTATATATACGACGAAAACAGTCAAAGGGTTAACACTATCCCAACCCTCTTCAACCAACAAACCCAACCCCCACTAACCATACTTGTCACTAGCCCACCTTTTTGCCAAAAGCTGCTTATATCTCACCTTAACTTCCTCCTCCTTTAGTTTATACACTTTCACTTCTCTCTTACTTGTTGTTGCCATTTTCCTTTTGTCCCATCTACCTCTTACTCTAACTGTAGCTACAACTAAATAACGATCCGATATATCCGTTGAGCCCCGTCTATAAAGCATGTACATCCTGAAGCCTACCCATCCACATTTTTATCCACAAATACATAATCTACAAACTACTTTCATTACATGCTATAATCATGCCTTTTATTACTTATATTCTCCTCTTTTCATAAATATGTATTATTTATTAACCAAACTTCTTTCTACACATTGCTCAATTAAAGGCTCCGCCATTTTCAATTTAACTCCAGGTACACTTACCCAAATTTAACTACTACTTTACTTCCCTCCACAACATTTTTACACGCACTTTAGCATTGAGTCCCAAACCCACAAGTACTCTTGTCACTTGGTTTCAAAGACTCCCCACACACTCACTCAACATTCCCTTTCCCATAATCTCTCTCTCTTCCTCAACACCTTCTCTCTTTTCAGGTTCATAAACACTTAACGTATAGACCCACTTTACACACCCAACACCTTATTTTACGATCATAATCCTTGAATTAACCATTAAATTCCTTCTATCTTTTTTCTGTGCCATAACTTTATCCTTAGCAATATTGCTACTCCCTTTCTTTAGCTCTAACTCATCCACTTGAAACCCCTGACCTGATCCGCATTTTATTTTCTCCCCCTGAAACTCTCAGCATACCCCCTTACAGCTGTTGTTTTCAACTTAAAGCCAGGAAATCCAGTTTCCTTTTCTCATTCATAACATTCCAACAATCATCTCTTCTTATCTCTCTCTTCAACACAACATCCACGCACAATTCAAAAAAAAACATCCCACTATGGAACAGGTAAAGGGGTCACTAGCCCATTGTTCCCGCATTTTAGTTGATTTTTACAACACGCATGGCTTACAGAGGAAAGATTCTTATTCCACTTCCCCATGGATATGAAATGAAAAGCACTAAGAACAAGAAACGTGGAAATAAAATACCAAATACCGTAAAATATATTAATTATAAACAGTGGCAATTCTAAGTGCAAGGCACAGTACAATTATTTTCTTGGTCTATAACCCACCTGTGAATAATGCATGGAGCACTTGCCACAGTATCTACTGCATGCCTGCTCTCATGCCTTAGTCAATGATTCATGGAATCAACAAGGTTGCCTTTCTTATCTTTTTTTAAACTAATGATAAGGAAATACAGTGGACCCCCGGTTTATGATCAGCTACCAATGCAACCAAAAAAATTATGTAATGTATATGGAGGAAGGTGCGTTTGTACGTGTATGTTTGGGGGTCTGAAATGGACAAATCTAATTCACAATATTCCTTATGGGAACAAATTCGTTCAGTAATGGCACCTGAACATACTTCTGGAATGAAATAATATCGTAAACCGGGGGTCCACTGTATACACAACATTCATTAGCATGTTCTTTTTATGTGTGCTTAACACCCCTGTTTCTTGATGAACTTACTTTTTAGGCTGAGGACCGCTGCACGAAATTTTCTCTCGTTGTCATAGTACTCCAGACGAGCCGGACTTTTGGGTCCTGTTTCACGTCGCAACACAAAATACTTCTTTTTCATAGTCTGTGGAAGAAAGAAGAGTAATATTAATCTTAGTAATCATTAAATGACTACTGAAGTCATTATTTTTAGAAATTACACTTACAAAGCACATACATAATTTATTAAAATATTATTATAATCACGTTAGGTGCCAAACCAAAAAGGGTCATATAGTGCTCATTAAAATATAACATTACAGTATAAAAAGTAATTGTATACATTTGTATAATAAAGTTTACATTTTGACACAAAAAATAAAAAAAAACGTAATATTACAAAAAAAAATATCACAATTATTGCTTAACACAACACTTTTTTCTATTATGCATTTTTCCCACACTTCCAATCTGCACAGGTCATTAATTTCTCTGCAATGGTTTTAGCCCCCCATAAATCCTCCGGCTCTCATCTATCACCCATCATGTCATTAAAAACATGAAATTTTATCACCCATCCTTTCCTATATTCTTCTATTCCATCAAACACTCATTCATTCTCCTGTTTCCCCACAAGTATTTAACCTATTTGTTTGTACTTTGTAATTACTAGTGATAGTCCATTGCAGTGCCAGAGAACACACTCCCTCACACTTCAAAAGCTTGAGCTTACTTAATATACAAAATATGCACTAACATTACTGTGTCTACTATATACACAGAACATTAAATTCCAATATAAACCCTTCTCTGAAATGTTTCCTTGATAGCTACAACAAAACAAACAGGCATAACACAAAACACAAAGCCCTCTTTGACATCCCATGATTCTGACTCAACCTAAGCAAAAACTTAATGTTTCAATGAAAAGGTCCAAAGATCTGGAACATTACCTGAAAGCATCGAGAACGCCCCCCCGCACCCCCCTCCAACTCCATTCAGGTCTTTTGTTAACCCTTTCAGGGTTTCGGACGTACTAGTACGGCTTTACCAACCAGGTTTATTTTGACGTACTAGTATGCCTAAATTTCTAGCGCCTTCAAATGCTACAAGAGAAAGCTGGTAGGCCGTACATATGAAGAATTGGTCCCCTATGTGGTCAGTGGCGCAGTAATAGAAAAAAAATCCTGCAACACAGTGCATAATTGATAAAAAAAAAACCCGCCCGTGTTTTTGGTATAAAACAGCGACTTTGCAGTGTATTTTCGTATGCTATTTATGGTTGTCTCATTTTATAGAATGGAAAACATATTATGGAAATTGAGATGATTTTGACTGGTTTTACAATGAAAAGTACCTTGAAATTGAGCTCACAGTAGCAGAAATGTTCGATTTTTACCAAAGTTCAAAAGTAAACAACTCATGCTACACGTCCAATACAACGTCAACTGGGTGAGATCTAATATTTCTTTTCCACAAGTGTGCTGATAGTATTTTATACCATTTCTACACTAAAGCATAACAGTAAATCTTCTTTTTTTTGTGAGAATAAAAATTCAAAGTGGAAAGCAAAAGAATGTAAGAGGGGCGTGGGGACATGACTAATGAACTGAGGAAATGTTATTTTAGAGCCAGGAATGTCTCGTTTATTGTGGACCCTATTCGGAAACTGCCATCTTTTGAAATTTGTGTGAAATTGTGAAATTGCTAAATTCTGACCACTTTATTGGATAGCTGAAATCCGTAAATGGGTGGTTTCTTGTACTCATTCGATAGGAAAACTGGAGTTCTAGCAAAATAGTTATGATTTTTGTCAACTAGTACACTGGAATTGCCGAAATTAGGGCTCAAAGTGGACAAAATCGCCGATGCGTAAACATCGTCGAGACTGCTAACTTCACGAGAGCATAATTCCATAAGTTTTCCATCAAATTTCATACCTTTGGCGTCATTATGATTGGGAAAAGATTCTCTATCTTTTCCTAAGAAAAAATAATTTTTTTTTTTTTTTTTTTTTTAAATTTGGTGACCCTGAGAACAAGTCTCGGAGAGGGCCTGGCAACCCTGAAAGGGTTAAAAAGCACCTCACTTCTCTTAATAATAATAATAAGTTTATTTCTTTGTAAAGGTTACAATGTGCAATTACAATTTTGATTTGCTAATTACAAAGACAGCCACTATCATGCCGAGGCATTTCGGGCAAACTAATCATAATATATAGTAACTAATTAAAACTAGATAAGATAATAGTACATAGAAATTATTACTTAAAACTAAACATAGAATAGGGGTTAGCTGTTTTACAATCTTGTTTGGACTTTATCTTATATATACTTAATCTTATGTATACTTAGTACAAAATCTAATTTACAAGGAATGGTGCAGGTGGTAATATTTTATGGAATGGCAGAATTAAAAGCCAGGAGGTCACATGATAAAACTAGCCAATAGATGTTTGGTTGATTTGGTTAATATTGTGCAATAAGATTATTTTTTTTAGCAGAGTCCTAAATTTATAAGCTGTCTGGGGATCCTTGACTTGTTCCGGTAGCGAGTTCCAGATCTTTGGGCCTTTTATGTGCATAGCGTTCTTGCATAGTGAGAGTTTTACTCGAGGGATGTTGAAAAGGGCCTTATGCCTTGTATTGTGACTGTGCATTTGTTGTAACTGTCGAGTAGTAGTTTTAAGGGGGGGTGAGTTTACAGTGGAGTTTAAAGTTCTGTATATGTAGTAGGCACAATAATAAGAGTGTATGTCTTGTATATTTAGCAAGTTGAGTCTTTTGAAAAGTGGTGTCTAGCACAGGAGCTGGCTATCACCCGCACAGCAGCTTTTTGTTGAATTATTAAGGGTCTAAGGTGGTTGACTGTGGTAGAGCCCCAGGCACAGATACCACAGGTGAGGTAAGGATATATTAGAGAGTGGTACAAGGTAAGGAGAGTCATTTGTGGCACATAATAGAGTATCTTGGAAAGGATTCCTACTGATTTGGAAATTTTCTTGGCTATGTGTTTGGTATGGGACTGAAATTTAAGATTACAGTCAAGGAGAAGACCTAGAAATTTGCCCTCCCTGTGTCTTGATATAGGGGAATCATTTAACAGAAAGTTGAGTTGAATATTTGAGGCTCTGTTGCCAAACAGCATGAAGTAAGTTTTTTCTATTTTTAAGTGTGAGTTTGTGGTCACATCCAAGCATATATCTTTAGTAGTTCATTGTTTACCAGTGTTTTTCAAGCACAGCGTGTCTGAATAGGAGTGGACTATAAGGAGTCATCTGCGAATAGATACTGGTGTAAATAGTTTGGATGCATTGGGAAGATCAGTTGAATGTAATGATAAAGAGGAGTTGGGCCTAGGACACTACCTTGGGGTACTCCTACAGCTACAGTTGGATAGTCGAGTTGACTCCAATTGCATGTACATACTGGTGTCTGTCGTTAAGAAAGGTGATTTAGAGTAGTCAATAGAATGTCCTCTTATGCCATAATGATTCAGTTTGACGGGCAAGAGATTGTGGTCAACTATGTCAAACGCTTTTCTTAGGTCGACAAAGAGCCCCCCATGGATATTCATTCGTATCGAGAGCTGTGTATATTAGGTCAACATTACCTGTAATCGCATCCATTCGTGCTTTTTTTTGGTCTAAATCCAAACTGGGTTGGTTAAAGAAGTTGTTTTGGAATTGTAAGGTAGGAGTAAAGTCGCTTGTGTATTATTTTTTCAAATATCTTGGATAGTAAGGGCAAGTTTGATAGGGGTTTGTAATTGTTCAAATCAGTTGGATCTCTGCCTTTGTGGATCGGGGTGACCCTTGCTGTCTAGAGCATGGCAGGGAAGGTTAAGAACTATAGATTTGTTAAACATTGTTTCAATAATGGGCGACAGTTCTGGTGCAGCTTTTTTATATATGAATGGTGGCAAGTTATCTAGATCACCTGATTTGTTTTTTAATGATTTAATGATGAGTGAGACTTCAGTAGGATTAGTTGGATCCTCCAGTAGAGAAGAAGGCATTAAATTTGTTGGCCGTGTCTATAGGTTGTATGCAAGGTTCATCTGGGTTTTAAGTTAAGTTCTATCTCTGTATTTTCTTTCCAGTCCAGTTTTCTTTAGCCCAAAATTTTGGAAGAGTGTTTGCCAGGTACTTTTCAAGTCACCTTTCATTTCACTAAATCTATTTTCATAATACATTTGCTTTGATTTACGTATTAGTTTTGTTAGTATTGATGTGTATCTTTTAGTAAATTCTTTAGTAATTAAGCCTAATCTGAACTGCTTTTTCAATATGGAGTTTTTTTATTAATAGATTTGAGGATTATTCTAAATAGCCATGGCTGTCTAGGCCTCTTTTCTTCTGTGATGTTTCGTTTTGTCTTGGCAATGTTTGTAGTAGAGGTTTAGGGTTTTTATGTAAAAAAATTATGATAATCTTTTCAACATTATTACTGTCATATAGCTCTCTCTGCAATCAATGGCACCTAGAGTCTAGTTTTAAGGTTTCAATGTCTCGTCCATATCAGGCATAAATGAGATCTTTCTGTTTCTTGAGGAAGTTAGATAAGTTGGTTATGAGAAAGTAGGATAGTGGTCTGTGGTGTTTACTGAGAATATACCTCTTTGTAGTGGGGATATAATGTTGGTCCATATATGGTCGGAGTAACGAGGCCTAGTGTCAGAGATTCTTGTTGCTTCGTTATAGTTGGGGTAGCAAACTGTTGTTCATAGAGGACGGTTGCTTGGAATAAGGTTGATGTTGAAATCTCCTGCTATTATCAATGGTGTTTATTCCACTCTGACTCATGATTCATAATTCTAAAGGTTATTGCTAAAATGTAAGTGTTTTGATATGGTATCAGTAGATTGCAACCCAACTGTTTTATAGGTTTCTTAGGTGTACTTGATGTGAATTTAGCTATTATATATTCGCCGTTTTTGTCCTGTACATTAGTTGATTTCACACATTCTAGTTCATCAGAGTAATAGATGACAGTGCCTCCTCCTGATTGGTCGGGCCTACAGTTATGTATGGCTGTGTTTACCTGGAGATTACCTGGAGAGAGTTCCGGGGGTCAACGCCCCCGTGGCCCGGTCTGTGACCAGGCCTGGTATGGTATGGTATGGTAAATATGTCTGTCAGATCTT